ACACTGCCCAGTCCTGCTTATCCCCATAATTGGTTGTAAATTGAACCACTGTGATCCATAGGATTTTCATAGGCTGATTTTTAGAAGTAGATCACCAGGCCTTTCTTCCTAGTCCATCTTAATCTGGACACTCCCCAGCCACTCAAAGCTCTTTCAAGTACCAAGTTCATTGCCCTCTCATTCCTACGCCTATTCTCAGTTTTCCAGTGTAACTGAGTTCCTTGCTTCTGCATTTCTCCATCCCTCTGCCTGTATTAAACATACAAATCTTGCCCCCATGCAAGCAAGCAGTTTAAATCCCAAGACTACTTATGTAGACTACATGTACTCACAGGCGTTTGAAGGGGAAAAAACAAAACAAAACATTTAACTATATAAGGTATGATAAAGGAACATGTATGATTTTTTTAATTCTTAAAAAACACAGGTATAATACAGTACAAATAAGTACATTAACAAATACCTTATGTATATTTGACCTGTGTTCTTCAATTGATTGAGGACTTTCACAGATAGCTTTCACATCTATCTGTGGGGAATGCATTAAAAATCCCCATTTTATGGGCAAATAAACTTAGGATCAGAGAATCCTAAATCACAAAGACAATGGGAGAGAGAAAGGTCAGATGGCTCAGTCTAGAGCTGTTTGTTTCAAGGACTGCTTGTTGATGTGACTAGGAAGGGGAAATCCCTATTCTCCTGCCCACAGACTTCCATTCTAAAAGGAAAGTGAGGTCCAAGTAGTGTGTGAAAAGTCAGCATTTGTGTGATAAAGGCCCCGAATTACAAATTGCTTCAGAGTGGTAAAAGGAGGAGAAAAAAGCAATTGAACCAGGTCCCCCCTTTCCCCCTCACCCGAGGCACAGAAACACAAGAGACCTCAGCTTGGGGATCCATGTCTAGGGTCAGTTTTTAATTTACAAACACAGAAATAAAAACTCTATGAGTGCCTTGTTTTGCTTTTTCTGGAAAAAAAAAAAAAGATATCAGATCCCACCTCTACCACCACCAAAGAGCCTCAAGGATAAAGTCCTAAAGTGAAAATAAAGTCACCTAAAACGCTTTCACAGTGACATTCATAGAGGCCATTTATGCAGGCTCAGCCAGGACAGGTTTATCAGAAAGTCAGGTTGATACTGGAAAACATCACCACTTGGATAAAAGGAAAAAACACTTAAGCACGAGTGGCTCCTAAAGTTGAAAAGCTAACTAATTAATCCAAACCTCTTCGAAAAGAAAATGTAAAGTCAGATAAGACAAAAGCTAGCAGGAAAAAATATATTCTTACTTTTGAGAGTAACAAATACCTAAGTGGGAATAAAGAGGAATCACTTGGTTCCTCCCTCAAAATTTTAAAGTCACTTGATTTCCAGAATAATATTCATAAGAAACGATATGGGTACCTCAATGTACATTTTATTTCCTTTCTATTCATTTTCACATGAATATATTGAGTACTGTTCAAAGTACTATGGGTTAAGGGGGACGGGGATTGAGATTACATAATAAAACACTCTCTTTGCCATCAAGGAGCATAGACTGTACCACGGGACTACGTCAGAAACCTTTGGAATAGGTATCCCTCCCACCATCACTTCTCTGAGAACTGACACTCCAACCTTGATCCACACGGTCATGGCAGAGAATGAGCTATATCTCTACACCCTGACTTCCAACCCTCCTTGTTGTACTTAACCTATGTAAGGTCAACAAGAGTCCCTTCCAGAGAATTTGGAAATGAAAGAAATAAGGAGATAGTCTCTTTGTTGGCCAGAGCCCTAGATAACATGTACTCTCAGACTGTGAATGGCCACATCCCACTACACAGCCTAGGGAGAAGAGAAAGCCAGACTGTGGAGAAAGAGAAGACAACAGGGGCTGAGTCTCTCAGACAACAGCTGAAGAAAGAATAATGATTGGGTTCCCGGCAGATTTCAGTTCCCAGCCCAAACATTTCTTCAGCCTGCCAGCCTCACCACCCTCATACCCTTCAGTGAGTTAGCTTAAAGCAGTTTCTGTTACTGGCAACCAAAGAATCCTAAGAACTACAAGGGGAGTAAGACCACAACACAATTTGTCTAATGCACAGCAGTATCTGTGAAGTATCATGATGCAGAGTAGACAAGCATTCCACTTCATTCATCAAAGGGCTGCACAGTGAAGTGGCAAGAGACAAGACTTGCTGACAAAAGAGGGGGATTTGAGCCTAGACACCACCCTTTGCTAGTCCCTAGAGTAAGTCCATTTAGCCTGCACTTAACACGGTGCCTGGCACAAAGCAGGTGCTCAATATATATTTGTGAAAGGAAGAAAGAAGGAAGGCAGGCAAGCAGCCATCCATATACTTAGCGCATTTAACCTCTTCAAGCCATTTCTCATCAATATAATAGGAGTAACAATGTCCACTTTATGCATCTCACAGGATCAGAATATACACAACCACCATATGGTTAAAAGTCAGATTGATGGACAGGCCAAATATAGAGCCACTTGGATTAGTCAAACAAAGATTATCTAAAGCAGAGACTGGCAAACTACAGCTCATGAGCCAAATCCCGCCCACCACCTGTTTTTGTATAGCCCTCAAGCTAAAAATGGTTTTCACAAATGAACACTTGCAATCAATTTGATAATAAGGAACATTAACTTTGAGCCCCAATTCAGCTAAATGTTATCCCTCCTCAAAAAAAGAATGCCATTCTTCCGATTCATGGACCTGTATTACAAGAAATTACACTCACTTGTTATTATTATATTTTTAATTTTGTTAATAAAATATTTACAGAAATTCATTATCTCTCTCATTATTTAAGTACCTACATAATATCCTTGATTTGCCTCTTCACCCACAAAGTCTAAAATATTTACTATCTGGCCCTTTACAGAAAAAGTTTACTAATCCTGATGTAAAGGATGCACAGGAAGTCAGCTCAATCAGGAACATAGTAACGAGATTATTTTTCTCATTAATTTCATTGTTATTAGTGTGTTATTTTGCAGCCCATGGGGGTTTTTACTAACGCATCTATTGCAATGGAGCAGAATAACCTGCAATAATGTGAGTGAAGGTGACATCAGAACTTCTGGAAGCTCAACTACCCCCTTCAAGCCCAGGTGTAAACAGACAGGAACAGTTCTGCATGTAGACCAGGCTGCATACGTTCCAGAGAGGACCTCATCTGGGCCGAGCAGGATGTCTACAGAGAATGAAAGAGTACTGAGTACTCATTGCTTGCCCTCAGTCTCTCAGACTAAGGCATCCTAGTCCAGGTTCATTCTTGAACCTAGATCTGCAAAACTAGAACAAGGGTCCATTATCCAGAAAATCTGGGAATTGCAACAGTAGTTCTTCAGACCAACCAATAAGCCTATCCAACAAGGTAATGTGTACATAAATCCTGAGTAAACCCTGGAAATAAGTGATTGTAATCATCGATAATAACAACAAAAACACTTCCAGAGTACTTGCTGTATACCCAGCACTGCACTAAGCATACAAAGGTGTGTATGCCATGGACTTTGTCCTAAAGGAGTTTTGAAAATCATGCTGTGAAGGCATGAAAATCAGACATATTTATCTAAAAACAGAATAATAGTACAACCTGACATTTATTAAGTACTAAATGAAGAGTGTAAAGCAGAGTTTTTCAAACTTACTCTTAACCCACTGTTTTTTCTAAAAAAAAAAAAAACCTCGCGTGGAAAACCATATAAAATAGATTAAAAACAGAACATCTCTATCTAAAGCAGGGTCCACAAGACATCAGAATTCCAATGTAGCCTCCTACAAGCACAGTTTGAAAAACACAGGAATGTACAATCAGGATCCCCAGGCGTTCAGGAGGAAAAGAGAGGATGGTTGGCAGGAAGAACTCGGGATATTTCATGGAAGAGGTGGCAAGATTTGGACAGACAAAAAAGAAAAAAGGAGAATGGTGCTGCTTGCGGTGCTAATCATGTGGGAATAACGTCAGCGAGGTCTGTGAGGTACGTTTAGAGGTGGGAGTGGACCAGTTAGAGGTCTGGAAGGCTCATGTCAGGGAGGAGTGGGAAAGAGGAGGTTGGTATATGAGAAGCAAACGGAAAGCTTTGATGATATGCCTGGCTTGGGATCTCCCAGATAATTTCAAATCTCACTGTAATCATAAAAATCAAAACAAAATTTCAAAATAAGAACTTTTTGGAATTAATGGTTTTATTCTTCATTAAAATAGTAACATAAGCACAACATAGAAAATTTAGTGAGGAAAAGAAAAGAGAAGGGAAAGGTAATATTATCACTGTTACCCAAATATAATCACTATTAACATTTTTGCCTATTTCCTCTGTGCATCTTGTGTGTGTGTGCCATGTGTATTTTTCTCTGATAGTATCATGATAGTCATGCTATTTTCATATAGTTTGTTCATAATATTTACAAACACTACAGGATAGAGGTTAAGAGCACAGGCTCTGAAGTTGGACAGATGTGGGCGTAAAACCCTGGCTCAGCCACTTACTAGCTGTGTCAACTTAAGCAAATTAGTTCACCTCTCTGTGTCTTCCTCATCTGTATCAGGACAGCAATAGATCTGTTGAGCTTTGTGAGGATTAAATGAGGAAGTAAATAAAATTATTTAAACAGTGAGTAGCACATAGTAAGCATTCAATAAATACTAGCTATTATTATCTTTTATGTTACATAGTTGTCATCATATTACGTGTACCAGAAATATAGTTTTTCATTCTGATTATTTCTCTCAGTTAAGCCATAAGTATTCTCCATGTAATCACATAGTCTTCAGTGGCATATTTTTAATTTAATGGGCCTCAAATGGTACTTTAGTTTCACTTTGATTTGCATTTATGTAATAATTAGTGAGGGTAATTACTTTTCCATATATTTGTTTATTACCTGTATTCTTTTCACATTATTTCTGTTCATAACGACATCAATAATCCTGTTGGAATTCCCATGGTTTCTTAAAATTAATGTTGGTTCAAAGTGGAAACAGGCTTACCTTCTGGGCACCCTGTTTTAAGAATGTGCTGGCAAAAGTTTCCAAAATGCAGTTGAGAAATCCAGCCCCAGTAACTGAAATCCTGCCTCTTTGAATGAACTCTGTCCTACAAAAAAAAAAAAAAAGTAGGAAAAGAAAAACCAACAACACACATCTTTGATGTCACTCTGTTTTTATATGTAAACCACAGACATTTCCAGCAGCATAATTACCACTTACAATCAACGCAACTAAAAAAAGTTCCATAATAAATCAATAATTCCCTGCTATAACAAAAGGCTTATTATAGAGATTTACAGTTAATATAAGCAAAGTCTTATTCATATTAAGAATATTCATCTCATGTGGCAAAAATGCCTTTCTGAAATTCAGTTTGATATCTGGGCCCATCTCAACAGCATAGACCCTCATTACCACCGTACAACACGGTATATACCGGAACTCTAACTTCAACTGTTTCAGCTGTGAAGTGGCAGGTTCTTGACATTTGCCACTGCTCTGCCCATTAAGCAGGGTCTTCACCTACCCACATCAGGGAACTGAGGACTGGTGACTCCACCCATGCCACCTAGCCACCTGCGAGAGGGGCCCATGAATAAGAGGTGCCCCCCAGTCCTTACAGCCAAGAGCATTAGGTGCTCACAGTCCGGCTGCAAAACCCACACACCTACGCACTCTAGGAAACACGGACACATCTTTCTCCTGGACACTCAGGGGTGGCCGTCAACCCCCTGCCTTGCTCAGAGTGTGTCCCCCTGCTGCAGCCAGATGCCTGTGCCTACACCAATCACCCATGCCTGTCCACGACTGTAAGTGAGAGCCTACACCACACACTTGGTGGATATCTACCTGGGCACCTGAGCTGAAACCATACAGGAGGAGTGGACAGACTCCTGAGCTCACATACCAAGTAACAGACATAATCACCTGGTGACAGGACATTAGAGTTTCAAAGGTGCCAATAATCAAACTAATTCATATGAGCAGCCTATTTGGGCATATCAAAACAAAACAGAAGCTAGGACACAGTAAGCAAACATAGAATAAATAAATATAATAACTTATTGACGGCTTGGAGACAACAGTCAATATCAAATCACATAAAGAGGCAATCCATGATGGCTTCAGCAAGCTCCCAAAATAAAGAATCTAGAAATTCTCCAAAGGAGGAAAATTTCTTCGAATGACCAGAGACAGAATACAAAAGATTAATATACAGAACTCTTCAAGAAATTAGGAAGGAAATTAAGCAAAATGCAGAACACGCAATAGAGGAAATAAAAAGATTAGAGAAGAGCATAATGACAAATCTAACAGGCTTCAAGAATCCATAGAGAGACGGCAATCAGAAATCCAGAAGATTAACAACAAAATTTCAGAATCAGACACAACTCAATAGAAAGTCATAGGTGCAAAACTGAGGCAACGGAAGTCAGAATTAGTGAGACTGAAGATAAAGCACTTGACACCAACTTATTTGAGGAAAAATCAGATAACAGCATTACAAAAAATGAAGAAACCCTAAGAATTACGTGCGACTCCATCAAGAGGAATGACCTACGAGTGACTGAAATACCAGAACGGGGGGGAATAACAGAAAATACAGAGGGAACTGTTGAAGATTTGTTGGCAGAAAACAACCCTGATATTGTGAAAGATGACAAGACATCTATCCAAGATGCTCATGAAACCCCACATAAAGTAGATCCCAAAAGACAGCACCAAGACATATTATAATCAAACTTGCCAAAACCAAAGATTAAGCGAGAATTTTAAGAGTGACTAGGGTTAAACAAAAAGTCACTTACAAAGGAAAGTCAACAAGAATAAGCTTGGACTACTCAGCAGAGACCATGCACGCAAGAAGGTAATGGGATGACATATATAAAGCCTTGAAGGAAAAAAACTGCCAGCCAAGAATTATATATCCAACAAAAGTGTCTCCCAAATACGTTGATGAAATTAAGGCATTTCCAGATAAACAGAAATTTAGGGAATTTGCAAAAACCCAACTAAAATTACAAGAAATACTAAAGGAAGTCCTCCAGTTAGAAAATCAGTAACGTCAGATAACAACCAAAGACTAGAACACAGGACAGAGCAACCAGATATCAACCCAGATAGGGAAGTCACAAAAGTAAATCAAAGCCAAAACACTGAAAATAGGGAAATAGATGTCAATATGTAAAAGATGACAACATTAAAACAAAAAAGAGGGGCTTAAAAAATGTAGACATAGATTTTTCATATGCAGGGGAAGTCAAGGCGATATAAAGTAATAAAAGACTGGTATAAACTTGGAAAAACAGGGGTAAATATTAAGGTAACCACAAAGGAAACTAACAATCCTACAAGTTAAAATAAAAAACTAGAAAAATATAAAGGCTCAGCAAACACAAAATCAACAACAATGAAAAAGATAAAAAGAAAAACGACTCAGCAGAGAAAATTAAGTGGAACAAAGAAAATGTGAACAACACACAAAAAAAGACATCAATATGACAGCACTAAACTCATACCTATCAATAATTACGCTGAATGTAAATGGACTAACTGCAGCAATAAAGAGACAGAGAGTGGCAGATCGGATAAAAAAACACGATCCATCTATATGCTGCCTAAAAGAGACACACCTTAAACTTAAAGACACAAACAAACTAAAACTCAAAGGATGGAAAAAATATATAAAGCAAGCAACACTCAAAAAAGAGCAGGAGTGGCAATATTAATCTCTGACAAAATAGACTTTAAAGTAAAATCTACCACAAAAGATAAAGAAGCACACTATATAATGAGTAAAGGGTCAATACACCAGGAGGACGTAACTATAATAAATATTTACGCACCCAATGACAGGGCTCCAAAATACATGAAACAAACTCTAACAGCACTGAAAAGAGAGAAAAACAGCTCCACAACAGTAGCAGGGGACTTCAACACACCACTTTAGGTGAAGGACAGAATATCTAGAAAGAAGCTCAACAAAGACACTGAAGAGCTAAATGCTACAAACAACCAACTTGATCTCATAGACATACACTGAACACTCCACCCAACAGCAGCCAAGTATACTTTCTTTTCCAATGCACATGGAACATTCTCCATAATAGACTACATATTAGGCCGTAAAGCAAGCCTTAACAAAATCCAAAGCATCGAAATATTACAAAGCATCTTTTCTGACCATAAAGACATTAAAGTAGAAATCAACAACAGAAAAAGCAAGGAATAAAAATCGAACACATGAAAACTGAACAACACCTTGCTCAAAAACTACTGGGTTATAGAAGAAATGAAGGATGGAATAAAGAAATTCATAGAATCAAATGACAATGAGAACACATCCTACCAGAACCTTTGGGACA